ATCACCACAGAATTTGCATGTGCATTTCTGAGGCAGTATGGGGGCTGCTAATGGGAGTGCTGACACAACTGGAAATAGAGCAGCACTAGCAGACACCACTATGTGGTGCTTGCTAATACTTTGTTCCCTGTTATTATGCTTCCATAAATATACATTTGTGGTGACAGGAGGACTCTGAGGGGAGCAGTTAGGAGAGAAGCTAACGTTATGGTTGATTTTCTCCTGACTGGTCTAACAGCACTTCCAGGACATTCTGTGTGTCCAAAAATGATGCTTAAGGTATTGTTTTATTTGTTGTGACAGTGGACATCTGTAGAAGATTCCCCATTGCCAAATTTGCTTTTTCTTCCCCTAAGAACTGAGATCATGGTGAATTCTATTTAGTCATTGGAGGGTGAGTCAGGCCCTCTCTGCCCCAGCATTGGTTCAGTTAGCATATCAGTGGTCATTGATGAGGGTTTTTGGGAGGCAGAGCATGCTACCTTCACCAGCCCTGACAGTGGTGTCCCTGATGGTACTGTGAACAGGAGTTGAAAACCAAGCCCCAGTTCAGCATCACTACTTACTTCATAAGCAGTCTTGTTGAGCTTGATGGTGGAGAAGATGTGCAAAGTGATGGCTGTGAGGGTCCTGTAGGAAGGACTTGAGTAGCTTCTCAGAGGAATGGTTAGTGTAGCTCATAGCCCTTTCTGCAAGAAGGAGAATGGGCTCCAAGCAGGTCTATGCACGTGCACACATTATAACACAGATACTTAATTAGTCCAACACAACTTGTAGCTTAGCACCATGAGTGACAGATCCCTTGTACTGCTCATGCACAGCATGCAGCTCTCTGCAGTGTAGATAATGCACTGCCTGGTGGGATTGGGCAGCCTCAGCTGTTATCTTAGCTAGTCTTATCTGCTTAGATACTGTTATCATAGCTTTCTGGTTTGATGCCCAGTAGAATGGAGTCTGAACATGTGATCTTTATTCTATGTGCCTTTCCTCACAGTACCCTTGGGAGGCAAGGCGAGCTCTTCTACAGATGAGAAACAAAAGTGTACTGAGGGCTAAATAACTCATCCAAGGACAGACAGGATACTTGTGCCAGGACCTAGATCTCCAGCTATCCTGACGATGATTAGAAAATCTGAGTAGGTCATTCAATAGCAAGAAAATTGAAGGGATAAAGTAGAGATTAGGTAAAGTTCAGTTCTTCCGTACTCACTGAATGACTTTGCTCACTTATGTACACAATGGTGTATTCCAAACATGATTTTTGAGCTTTTGTTGATACAGCTTTCCTTACATATTTGCTGGGTGTAGAAGAAATGCTGGAAAGTGCAAACTCTTTAGCCTGTCTTTTATTGTACACAGCAGTGCTGTTACTGAGTTGTGATGCTGTTAACAAGGTCATGCTGATTAGGGGAATATAACTAAAGGAGAAAAAACCCCACCTGTCTGACACTCCACAGATGCCCCAAAGATAATTCGTCCTCTCAGCACAGCAGAATTAGTAGTAGTTTATGGTTTTATATGAAGTATTTGGGCCTAGCATAAAATCTGTTAAATTAACAGATGTTCTTTCAGAAAAAGAAAAGGTTAGTTGTTTATAAAGGAGTTGGGGAAATGGTGAAATACCCTGGGATAATAGGGGACTTCAAGAAATAGAAAGCAGCCTGAAGGAGAATAGCACAGCTTATGTGACACAGCAGCAAGGATCTATAGCTCTGGGGTTGTTTGAGGCATTTTTATCCTCTTTTGCCTCACATTAATATTTGTCATTAACCTGAAAGTGAATGTGCTCTCTAGCAATAAAGCTGACAGAGAAAAGGAGAGGCTGGGAAATGCTATGAAGCTCCAATTCTCTCTGACTTTACTGTTTTGTCATTTAACTTTTAAATATGGGCCATTCATAGAGTTGGTGTGGAAAAAAGAGAGACTGAATCCTTTGAAAAGACCAACAAATTTGAAAGAAGAAATTTCCAGGGAAGTTATCCTCAGCGTTTCAAAAATAGGATATGTTTTATTGGGTCAAATGTACACATGCAGTGGTTGTTTCATTGCTATGCAAAGTCTTCGTTATGCTAACAGGTGGGCATGAGTTTCCCTAAATTGCAGTGGTAAGGTCAGGTCAGATGGGGACACTTGCTAATTTCTGACTGAATCCAACTGCTAGTATATCTATCTGCGGGTTCATATTACAATTAAACTGAGCTGTAAGAAAGATTATGAAAAAGGAGTGTAGAGGAATTATGTATACAGGATATTTTTTTTATGCCACCTATCAGTACTGGGCTCATTTTAGAAGATGGTGTAGAATTCTATTTCTGCATTCATGTAGTTAGGGAAGCATTAAGTCCTTGCTGAGGTCAGCAGGAGTTGCATATGCTAGACGATTGAGGAGGAGGTGCCTGGCTTGATGACTTAGATCAAGCGCCAAAGGTTTGAAATCCTTACAGCAGCAACACTGGAAAATAGGCTCATTGTTGAAAAGAAAATCCCTTAGTTTGGGGGAAATTGTTTAAATCACATGGAGGAGAAAGATTCCAAACTTGAACTAATTTAATTTCTCCCTAATTATGAGCTATATAAGGGAAAAAATTGTTCAGGATGTTGGCAGAGCTTGCAGTGTTGGCACTTTGCTCACTCAGTGCCACTGGAACTAATATGAATGGGAAAAAGTGGTCCCTGTGCTGAATTGCAATGGCTCATTAGCAGGTGGGTTTTCTGCTTTACCAGCAGATCTGGTAGGGAGACTTCCATGAGTGCAGCTAGTGCCATTTAGTCTTTCACCCTTGTAAAGAATGAAAAGTTTATTGCTTACCACCACAGCTTGGGAATGGAAATTGTAAAGAATCTAAGTGAAAAGTTGTCATCTTAAGATGAGTTAAAGCATCTTTTTTTCTTTCTCTAGATGTACAGGGGCTTCCAGATAATGCCACACGTTCAGTACATCTACACAGAAGCCTCTGAGAGTCTTTGTGGAGTCAAGCTGGAGGTCAACAAGTACCAATATCTGATTACAGGTAAAGGACAGTGTACTTCTTCATGGGGAAAAGCTCTTCTATTCTATACATATGCCTGCTAAGGACACAGTTGGCTGTGCTCTATACACAACTTCCCAAGTGTTGAGATGGCAAACAGTATTTTGGTGTTCAGTACTCTTCAATGCAGGAAGTAATTTCACTGTCTAGATCTCTCTCTCCTTCCTAAAGCATATTTTATACCCAGCCATGTTGTGACAAATATGTTGTATGACAGTCTGTCTGTCAGTTTATACCTGAGCTGGCATGTCTGTCACAGGGAACTGGTTGCTACTTAGCTGTGCTAGAAATGGAAGGTTGCTTTTGGAATGAGCTGGAGAAATGCAGACTGCTGAGATGTGGGAATGCAAGGAGATAAAGATGTGGCAGTTGCCAAGTCTTGTTTCTAGTGATGGTGTCAATTCACTTTCTCTGTTGCTTAAGAGGAGCTTGGCAGCATGACTCACCTGTGTGTTCCTGGTGGTGCTTACAGCCTGACTTGCTGTAATCTTGCTGGCCAGAGATTCCCGAACCAGTTAATAAAAAGAAAGCATTTGCTGAGCAGTGGCTGAAGCCAAACACATTGAGAGCATTAGCAATCTCAGGAAACGAGAGAAGTGCTTGAGCTGAGAAGTGCTAACTTGTGACCATGTCTTTGTTTTCAAGGCCGTGTGTATGAAGGGAAGGTTTACACTGGCCTGTGCAACTGGTATGAGAAGTGGGACCGACTGACTCTGTCCCAGCGTAAAGGACTGAATCATCGTTATCACCTGGGCTGTGGATGCAAGGTATGTGTGTCTCTCATTAGGTGGCATTCAGACATTCAAGCTTGAGAACTGTTCCCCCTGGCTGGTAATACCCAATGATGCTGGAGGACAGCCAGGAAGAGAAATGGAGAACAAGAATTTTTACAGAGAAAAAGTAAAGCTCAATTTTAGTGTTGGGACCTGAGAGGAGATAATCAAATAAAAATTCTGAGTCTATGCCTTTTTAATGCCTTGCTGGAGTTAACTGAGGTTGGGAAAGACTTTCAGAATCCCTGCACAATCATTTGCGGGTGAATGAAATCAGGTACCAAAGGCTTGGCAATTTATGTCCAGTTTTCTTCCTGTGTAAACATTTTGAGTGCTTAAAACCTCACAGCCTGGCACTGGTACTAAGATTTTTGCACATGGCCTCAGGCCTGCAAAAATATAGACATAAGCTCAACTTTTCTGCACCTGAAAAGCCCTTTTGACTGTGGAATTAGCTGTGTATGTGAAGCTAAGCACATGCTTACGTGCTTACAGAAGTAAGGCTGGATTTTAGATTAGAGGGAGTGGAATTTTGAATTGCTTATCTCTGTTAAAAAGATATTTTATATAATGTTGGGTTTACATGATTGCTCTTTCCAATTGCAGATCAGGCCCTGCTACTATTTGCCCTGCTTTGCCACCTCCAAGAATGAGTGCATTTGGACAGACATGCTCTCCAACTTTGGCCACTCAGGATACCAAGCCAAGCACTATGCCTGCATTCAGAGGGTGGAAGGTTACTGCAGCTGGTATAGAGGATGGGCACCTCCAGACAAAACTATAATCAATGCCACAGACCCCTGAGCACGCTATCCCTTTCCTTATCTCCCCTCTCCCTTACTTGTGGCTGATCTTCCTTTGGACACTAACTCATACCAGCTCATGACGATGACAATGAAATTAGTGCCTATTTTCATGCAAATTTTAGCACTTCGAACACTTAAAAAGAAAGAAAAAGAGAAACAAAAAGGAAAGGAAAGAAAAAAAAGTATGTGCTACCTTTCTGAATTTATAATCACCTTTTCCATTTTTTTTTTTTTTTATACCACTCATTTTGATCAGACAACATTTGGGAGCTTACTTTTGCACACCAGAGGGAAAAATGGGAGGGGGAAAAATAAAAAAAAAAAAAAGAAAGAAAAAAGATGGAGCTCTTGCTCTCTTATGTGTATCATTAGCTGTAGCAATATAATCTCTATTTTTTTAGGAAAACAAAAATCTAAAAACTTTGCCAATTAGGCACTGTATTCTTCTATGTGCTGGCATCATCCCTCCCCATGCACTAAGTGCTGAAAATAGACAAAACTCTTTGAAGGGAAACAGGTTTCATTAATCAGATTGGCAAATGGAGCAAAGTGAAAAGAAACCCAGCCTAAACTCTGGAAAAAATGACATCCAAAAGAAATCCTCCTCCATGGGAGAGATTGGCAATATGACTCCAGCAGTAGGAGCATTCACCTGGTGTGTCTGACCGCATGATCTGGTAAAAACATTGCTGACTGATTCTCCTAGTTAATTCAGTCACTGTGTGAATGCAACAGCACATTTGAAGTTCTGGCTTTCCCCAGAACAAAAGAGAGAGTATTTTGTATTTTTGTTGTTGTTTGAAAAACAAAAGTCCCATCCCCTATTTTCAGGGAGGTAAATCCACCTACAGCAGAGCAGATGAAGTGTTGTGCCATCCTGTTTTGAGCAGCATTGGCCTCTAAAATTGTTTGCAGCTTAGCTTCAACAGCACAACCAGCTTGTGAACACCTTAAACCAAACAGATGCAAAAATACCAGCTGTAAATCAATCACGTGGAAGAGGGAAAGGGGAGATGTGCTAGAGCTCTTACTATAAAAAAAATTGTATTGCCAAAATAGTGTTTTGCTGAACTAAGATGTATATTCACATAATGACATAAGCTATTTTTGACAGGATGTGGAATTTTTTTGGGGTGTTATAAACAAAAGAATGGTTTGATTGTGTTTTAAAGACAGAAATATTGACATTCCGAGTCGGTGAGTTGTTTATAAGATATTGAAGCTCCGGTGTATCTGCAGTAGTGGCTACAGTCATTGTTTCCTCTGTACCTCCTTGCACCACGGTTCCTCCCCTGCAGCTACACTAGCTGCAGTTGTTTATATAGTGAAAGGAAGTGTGTGTGTGGGCTAGGCAAGGAAAAGTGGTCTCCTAATAAGTGTTGTCTGGGATCATAAAATTTCAGCTGCCCAGAGGATTCCTTCTGTGTCAAGTGCTGTGTTTCCCTCTAGGCACTGTTAAGCATAGCCCTGTGCATGTGCTCATACCATGTCCTACAGTCTTGTGGGAGGAGGAGCCTTACTGTCTTGTGCTTTGCTGTTGACTGGAGAAGTTTTTTTTTGTTCTATTTTGTTTGTTTTATTTTTTTTATTAAGAAAACTATAATATAATTTTTTTCTTATCAAATAAAAGTATTTTAAGTTTTAATGATGGTGAAGAAGGGGTGCTGAGAAAATGGGTGACTGAGTTTTGCAAGGGGAGGGCTTGGGCAGGGAGAAGATTGTGCTTAACTTCATTTTTGTATTATTATGATTATTTATCTTAAGTTTCCATATATCTTCCGTTCATTCCACTTAGAAAGCAGAGCTGCCACCAGCAGGAAAAAGTGTTGCAGTGGTTCCAGCTTGGGGCAATACAGCGTTTTACAGTCAGTGACCTCAATTACTGGGGAGTTGTTTGGAACCTCTTTGCCAAATGGAAAAGAAAGGGTGTGTGAGATGGGCCTTGATGTCTTTTTATGTTCCTTGTGTGCTACCAGAGCTCTGCCAGACATACATCCTCTGAAATGCCCCATTTGCTAGATGCATTGTTGCAGCAAAAAGCTTCAGTTTTAGCGTGAACTTCAAAGGGCATTTTCACAGAGTTGATGTAAGAGGTGCCTGTGTCTGCTGTGCATATTTTTGATCCAGTGGCTCTGAGTGGCAATGCAGCACAAAACACATTGAAATTCTGTTGGATTTTCCTGTGATTCAGACTTGGAACACTTCTCAGAAAGTCCTCTTCCCTGTGACTACTCCTAATTATGGGTTGGAGATGAGAGGGAGAGTAGAGTGCTTCACAACACCCATCATAGGAGTAAGTGGTGGTTCAGAATGTTGTCCCTTTTGGCAAAATATGGGGTTGGGCTTTGGGCCCAGTGGAACAATCTCTGTCTGAGCTGTGTGTGGCTTACAGAATCTGTGAGGGTGACTGAGGGCAGAGTGGAGCCACCCTCACCATTTGCATCGTGTGGAGTCAGCGTGGCTGGAGGTGGCCCTCCTTGAGCTCAAGGTGAATTCACAGAGCTGATGTCTCTTTGAGCTGCAGCCACTTTGCACAGCTTTGGAAGGCTAAATGAAAATGGCCCTCAATGCCATAAAGTGTTGATTTAAATCTTCATTAAACTGCAGCTCTGCATATTTTACCTGTCACTGATTCATTTAGCTAGCTGAGACGTCACAGTATTGCACTCAAATTATTGTGAAAATATTTGCATTCTAATACTATGAGGACTTGTGTCCCTAAGTAGGATATAACGTAGCTATGTGCTTTGTAAACAACAAAACAGCAGATGCATTACCAGAAAATGAAGTGTATTCCCACTTTCTATTGCAGATGGTAAAATATTTCTGAGATGCAGACAGCTAGACCAGCAGGGATGAGGGTTTGGTAGCAAATCTTTGCCCTTGCTGTGTAAAGAAACAGTTGTTAAGGCTTTTCAAAATGTGGAGCCAAAAGGAGGGGAAAGAAATCCAGTGAAAATACATTTCTTTTGGGAAGCCTCTTAATTTTGTTTCTGTGCATGCTATCAGGGACATGTATTTGTTGGGCTAAGCTTCAGCTTGTTCTTGCATTAAGGACCTGACTGAACTTTAGAAGTTGGAGGAAGCTATTACATGGACTGAACAGGCTCTAAGTCAGGCTCAAAGACTTCTTCCTTTCTATCTGCTCTCCTTTCTTATATCTTGCTAAGTGACTTCTGCCTGCCAATGGACAAAGGTCGCTCCCTCATCACAGCAGGCCATGCAATGTGTGGGAACACTAGGCATGGAGATGGAAGGAGGCAGTTGTGAAGGGTATGCCTCAGTATGTGGAGCATACAATGTCTTGCAGCAGCACAGTTATCTTCCTATGACTTCTGGCATGCTCCTTACTTCACCCCAGAACCGAAGGTCAGAGAACTATGGATGGCACAGCTTATGTGAGCATGACCTTTGGGCATGTACAGGATTATACACACAGTCCCCACTGCCATGCTTCAGATGTACCAACATTAAAAAATGAATAGCTCATTTCTAGACTGTTGCTGTTCACTTTTTGATTTATAGAGATTTTTTTTCTTTGCTTGAGAGTGTTTTCCCCTTTAGAAAGAATATATATATATATATCTTGAAGGTTTGGGAGAGATTGGATTCTATTTTCCTTTTCCAAAATGGAAGGGGTAGAGAGCAGAAAGAGATCCGTGCATGGAGTACCTTGAATAAAGTTCTCTTGTAAGAGGTTTTCCCCTATCCTGTGTGGGACAAACCTGCCATTTTAGGTCTAAATTTCCTGTTTTGAGGAGTTAGATGGCCCTTTAGAATCATAGAATCAACTGGGTTGGAAAAGACCTCCAAGATCATCGAGTCCAACCCTACTGTGGTTACTAGACCATGGTGCTAACTGCCACATCCAGTCTCATCTTGAAAACCTCCAGGGATGGTGAATCCACCACCCCCCCAGGCAGCCCATTCCAGTGCCTGATTACTCTCTCTGTAAAAAATCTCTTCCTAATATCCAACCTTAAACCTCCCCTGGCAGAGGTAGGACTATTCTAAAACCTAAATATATCTCCGTATCCCATTCATTCTTGGTCAGAGTGAAATGCTACCTCACAGTGATGGGAAACATACCGTTGTGTTTTTTTTGCAGGAAAGACTGTTTGAAATAAAGACCTTCATGGGAACAAGTTTCCACTCTTTCAGATGTCTCTGAAAGTATTGCTCACTTATAATGTACTTCATAGCTTAGAAGGGCAGAACAAAATTTAGAGAACTGCAAAAATTTGTGGGTTTTTTTAGAATAAGTGACTTTTGGGGCTACCACTCTTGAGGTAAAAAAACTGTAAAAGTCCACTAAACATTGCTGCTGCTTTGCTTGTATTGGCTTCTCCTTCTCTCTGACACTGTCCTTCTTTCATAGAGCCACTCTGCTGTTCCTGATAGTCATGGAAACTTGGGGAGGGAACCAAACCCGTGTGAAAAATCTTATCCAGAAGGAATGTATTTGTTGCTAAATTTTCTAGCACTGTTTACAGTTTTCCTCCATGTTATTTATAAATTTTATATTCAGTGAATGTATATTGTCTTTTAAGGTAATGTTGCATAATGTTCACTTTTTATAGTGTCCTTTTATTCTAAACAGTAAAGTGGTTTTATTTCTATCACAGACATTCTGTCTCTGCTTCACTTATATTAGTTTCTGTCCACTTCAAACGTGCACAAATGGATTTGCAAGTGGAATTTATTAATTTCCTTCCCTTTCTTGATACTGTTTTATTGGTCCCAAAGCAGATATTCTACCTCTGGCAATGTTTGCACTTTGGCAAAGATCCCTTCAGGAGTCCCTCCCTCTTTTTAAGAGCCTGGTCTCTAAGAATTGTTACTGTGGTCATAAGCCCAGGAGAGGTGAAAATTCCCATTTGAAGTTAATGACTCCCAGTTGTTAACTGGCCATAGGAGGTCAGTACAGAGCAAGGCAGCCATTAGGGCTGGCTGTAGCACCAGTAGAGCCTTGGAAGAACAGTGGCAAGATTGCTCTTATTTCCAGCCAATTGATCACTGAGAGGAGGTCTGAAAAGTACATGCCCATGGCAAAGGGATGAGAGGTTCATCTTGCCTGCTGTGAAATGTCAAGAGTCTTGTGTCCTCCCTTTAGGCTTACCATTTAAGGCTCATTAAAAAGGTCCTGTTGTGATGGGGAAGACACTTCAGACAATGCATTTTCAACAAAACTGACCTACTGTTAGAAATTTGCTTTTTCCCACTTTTAGGTTAGGGAAATATTCTCTACATGGATGAAAGAATTAAACAGATTTTTTTTTAAAGGTTTTATCCAAAGGTTTAGAAAGTCAGCTTTGGAAAATTTTG